CCAGGGCAGGCCCGGACAGGGCTGCCCTCGGAGGCTGCTGCGCCTGTGCTGGGACCAGGCCGCTCTCGGGCACGGATTGCGCAGTGCTTGGAAGCAGGGCCGGGCGGGGGACCCGGGCAGCTCGTGAGTGGGAGGCGCGTCCCGCTGGCTTCGGAGGCTGGTTGTTTTCAGGGTTTGACCGTGTCCCGCCAGGCAACGGTGCTCTCACCTCAGACGCCTCAGCACTAGGTCAGAGCCGCATCCAGAGGCCAGGGGAAGGGACATTCCCAGAGCCACGGGGGAGCCTGTCCCCGCCCAGTGCACCTGGCAGGGCCGTGGAGGGAGAGCGTGTGTGGGGCCACTTAGCAAGCGATTTGAGCTTTCCATGGCTGCCACAAGCAGCAAGAGGTCTGCCCATCTCCCTTCGGCTCCTCGCCCAGCCAGGGGCTCCTGAGAGCAGGCAGCAAACACGGCACCATCACCCCTGGGCTGCCTCACGCTGGGAGCAGCCCAGGGCAGAGACCTCCGGGACCCCCAGGCAGGGAACCTTCCACTCCTCCAAGGGAAATGGTAAAACTGAGAAGAGACGTAAAACCGAGCCAGGGAAACGCAGGTTGTTACACAGCACGCGATTACTCAGTGGAACTCCCTGCCACAGGACACTGGAGGCCCGAAGCTTCGCTGGATTCCAAGGAGGCATGGATGTTGCTCTCGGTACCGGGAGCATCGAGAGGGGCGATAGTCGGGGCCAGGCACATTGGAGAAGGGCTCAAAGGCCACAACCAAACCCTCACCCAAGAAGGTCCCACCTCTGGCACAGCACCTTCCTATGAGGCACTGGCCATCAGAAGAGCATCAGAGCAGCCAGACAGGATCAGACCAAAGGCCCATCCAGCCCAGTGTCCTGCTGGCCCACAGTGGCCAACGCCAGGTGCCCCAGAGGGAGTGAACACAGCAGGGAATCCTCACTTGATCCCTCCCATCACCCATTCCCAGCCTCTGACAAGCAGAGGCGAGGGACCCCCTCCCTACCCAGCCTGGCTAACAGCCATTGATGGACCTAATCTCCATCAATCGATCTAGCTCTTTTCTGAACCCTGTCCAAGTCCAACTCTTCACGACATCCTCCGGCGAGGAGTTCCACAGGTTGGCTGTGCACGGCGCAAAGAAAAACTTCCTTTGGTTTATTTGAAACCTGCTGCCTGTTCATTGCATCTGGTGACCCTGACTTCTTTTATTGTGGGAATACGTAAATAACTTTTCCTTCTTCACTTTTTCCAACCAGTCATGATTGTATAGACCTCGATCGTCCCCCCCTTGGCCTCCTCTTTTTCCTGCCAGGCTGGACAGGAGACAAGTGCCCTGTTCTGTACCCCTCCCTTCGCCCCCACAGTTCCCGGTAGCCTTGCTCGGGGAGGAGCATAGGACAGGACAGACACAAAGGCAGCCAAGCCCTCTTACCCAGCTTAGGGCCCAGTTAGAACAGAGAACCTGCCTCCCTCTCCCGAGGGGCTGGGCCCCCAGCACTGTGTTCCTCCTGGCCTGGGAGGGGCTTTCCAGGGCCTCTCCCCTGCACGTAGCTGGAGCAGAGGCCTGGGCTTGCACTGCTTGTGTAGTGCCAGGTGGGCTGCCGGTGTCCTCAGGAACGAGCCAGCGCGGTCTCATGCCTGCAGCTGGCTCACTTTGAGACCCTCACCCTTCCCGGCTTGGCACCGAGCACCCGCAGGAAGGGGTCTGCGCTGCCCCCTCGCACGAGCCTCGTGCGACCATCCCTGTGCGTCCTCGTGCAACCATCCAGTGTGTCCAGCGCTGACGCTGCAGCTCCCCCAAGGGGGCTGGCGCAGGGTTACGGCCCCGTCATCCCACCACACAGACCTGGCCAGACAGGCGCCAGGTGCTCCCAGATCCCTCCCCGCCAGGGGCGCCTACCTGCACTTCCCGCGTGTGGTAGGCGATGATCAAGCCCAGCAGGATGACAGTTGACAGGCTGATAAGGCATTTCAGGGCCAGAGAAAACATGGACTCCTGGAGGAGGACGGAGAAAGCATTAGGGCAGCGAGGGTGGGGGGGGGTATCCCAGGGACACAAGGAGAAGGGGGGTTCCCTGGCCAGGGCAGACGGGCGTGCACGGGCCTTGGAGAACACAACACCCCCCTCCCTGCAGGGGCGCTGCGGCACACGGCTCACCCTCCTGAGCCCAGAAGGCGCATGCCTCCCCCAGCAGGCAGCTTCCCCGGGACAGGCCTGGGGCCCCTTCTCCTCGGACGGCTCCCCCCCATCCCTGCAGGGCCCAGGACGGCTCCCCCCCTCCCCGCAGGGCCCAGCAAAGGCTGAGCAGCTCACCCCAGAGTCCTGACCCCCAGGACCTTGCTCTAGCCACTAGCTAACACTGCCTCCAGGCAGCAGTGAGACCCTATGGCTGAGGCATCCTGCGCCGACCACTGAGCAGCCAGCCCCAGCACCCAGGGAACAGCCAGCCCTGTTTGCAGGCCAGCGTGGGGTGCGGCCATGCGTCTGACAACAGGAAGCCACAGGCCGTGCTGACACCCCGTCATGTGGGGCTGTTACTGCTGCAAGGGGAGGGGAAAAATCCAGCCCCCAGGCCTCCGAGTGTGCGCAGGAATGTCCCTGCACGAGCCCGCAGCCCCCTCCAGCAGGGCCACTGCAGGCAGGGCTGGTGCGTGGGGCACAAAGGGGAGTGAGACGCCGGCCGGGGTCTGGTGACTCAGTTTCCAGTCTGGGAAACGGGGCCATCCCCTCCCTCCTGCCCAGGGCTGCGAGGCTGAAGGTGCTCGCAGGGCAGCGCTGGAGGCTGTACCAGCTGCCAACGCCTGATGGCCGTGG